AAAAATTTTAATTTCTTCATTTTCAACTTATCACTCCCTTACTAGGACACCCTGTATACCAGACATTAAAAATTTTCTCCCGTTAAAACGAGTTTTGTCGCGAGACGAATGTACGTACATATAGGTATCGTGCGATCTATTTCCTGTTACTTTGATCTCTGGAATTTCAGCCTCGGAAATTATAACCGCGTTTCACGGCGCGGTAGGTTAGAGTACCGGACCAAATTTCGAGTGGAATAACACGAGCAATTTCTTAGCCGGGCGCGTCTGTTATTTTCGAGCGGCGGAACGGGCAGCGAGTGAACAAATTTCGCAAATTTCGTCCGTCCGCCACCCTCCCCCCTCCCCCCTCCCCTCGGTGAAATTTGCCCGTTACGAGGCGTGTAATTTATTCTCTCTCGAAACGGATATTTCCGTCTCGTTTAGCGTGTGAATCGATACCATTAGGACGGGCGAGGGTAGAAAGGGGAGGAAAAAATTTGGCAGAAAGCGAAAGAAACACAGGAAAGCAAGCGACGTCACGCGCAGCTCATTACCGTCCTGGTATCTGAGCGATAAAAGGCGGAAAATTGTATTATTACGGAAGAATACGTGTGATAATAGTTTCCCGCCGAGAAATTTCCGGGACAGACGTCTGCTGTTTTAGAGTAGCTAAACGGAAGCCAACCGTTCGAGGGAGGGGAGGAGGGGAGAGAGAGCTTCCTTCCTTCGCTTTGCTCGTTAATCGTATCTTCCACAGGCATGCATGAGGATGACGTGCATCCTGCGAACGGCCGAACAAAAGGGCCTGGATATTCCAAATATCGCATCCTATTTTTCTTTGCGCGGGTCTAATGCCTCCCAAACGAGGTACTCTGTTCTCCTTCAATTTTCAGGCAAATATTACGGGGAAGCTGCATTAGTAATGAACGACGGGTTATCCGCGACCGAATAATCCGAGATTCGAGGTTGATTCGAGCGCGCGTTGATCGACACCTGTGATTATTGAAAGTTTAATCGTTGAATCGGTCGTGCAGCGAGCGGGCGAGCGAGCGAGCGAGCGACGAAAGCAAAAAACGAGCAGCAAGGACAGGTTTCAACAACGGCGAGAACGGCTCTGCCGGGATTGCGCGAAATTTGTTCGCGCCGCGTTTAAATTATTCCTCGTCTGGCAATTAATCCGCCCGGATGAGAGCGGACTTTTCTCTACGCTTCTGCTGAAAAATGTTCGCGGAGCGGATTACTCGCGGGCGGCGAGTCGTCGCGGACGTACGTACAGGCGGTGGTAATTCGCGCGTATCGGACACGCTGGCGCAGGAAAGAAAAATACATCAGACGGTGGCGTGCGGTGGTAACAAAACGATGCGGGTAATCACGACAACGGTTGAGAAATGATCGAGTGGCGGAAGCATCTGGCTGGTGGGTAGAAGCGTGGAACGCCAGACGGGAACTAGCTCGGGTCAGGCTTTCTTGTTGACTCCCTCGTCGTTTACAGCGAGCTAGAATAATACTGTCGGTTGGTTGGTCCGTGGTATTTGAATTTCTTAGGTACACAAACGGCGGACGCTCAGATTTTAAGGGAAAACAAGCCCCGGCGTATTATTCCGGCGGAAAACAGGATTTCAATATTAAACGTCATTCAAACAAACGTACACGCGCGATAAACAAGATCCGCGCCTCGTCGAAATTTATCCACACCCGGCTGGCTCTGTTCCTCCTCCTTTGCCTCGCGGCCTCCCTCCACCCTTCCCCTTCACATAAAATGAATTTCTAACGAGTGTCAAAAGATTTCCGTTGAATATTTGATAAGCGAACTCCCCGCGGGTGAATACCACGGTTGTAATTGACAAGTAACATCTCGTTCGTAAATATTTATTTCGTCAACGATGTAACAGCTTCAATTTTCGTCAGGATCTTTCTGAATAATATATCATCTTTCGAGCAAAAAAGATATTCGTTCTTTCAACGAAGAAAAGTTCCACGAAGAGAAGAGGTTCCGCTCGAAGGATATTTCTTAGATTCGCGACGATTAACGACTCGAGTCGCAGAATACGTGGTATTTCAGGTACGGCTGAAAATCCCGAGATCGACGAAATTTTACCTCGCGTGAAAAATACAATGAGTATGATGGCGGCAAGCAGACAGGAGGGAGGATTGGTATAATCACGGCAACAGCGTTGAGAAATGACCGCGCTACGGGAGCATCTGGTGCTCGGCATCAGGAAACGGCTAGAGCTTCCGCTGGTTTTCTTGTTGATTTCCTCGCGGTGCCGCGCGAACGAGAATAATGTTCCAGGGGGTCCCAGGACTGGTCCAGCTGCCGACTAGATCGATACGCGGCGTTGTTATTGCGTCTAGGAAGCTGGTGTCGCTTTCCCCTGTGGAGAAACAAGCATGCTGATTTCCAGAATCACGTAGGTGCATTCTCCTGCAACAGCGGCCGTAACAGATTTAAAAAAAAAAAAAAAAAAAAAAAACACAACGACGCAATGACGATTCTCGATACTCGATACCTGTTGTCTCTCCTGTGTTTTTTTTTTTTTTGTTTCAAATTCGCGAACACGGGAACCAACGCGTGTCCAATCGTGACGAAGATTTTCCCCGATTGAAACTCGATCGATTCTTCCCGTTCTGTTCGTCGATGCGAGACTGTGTTCTTAAAAGGAACACACCGAAGTGTGAATCACCAACTTTGACGAAATTTGGCATAAATGTAGTTTTCAAAAGAATATTTGACACGATGAAAACTATCCTCAAACTTGCGACATATTTTGTCAAATATCTCGAAAATTATCGAAGATATCATTTTTGTGTGAATTGATGAAATTAGCGTTTCTTAACGACGAATTTAATGATATATATATATATATATATATATA